TATATATATATGCGCATACACAGAAAACTTTCTCCAAATTAGTAATATCTTCACTTTCTGGAAGATGAAAATTGAGAATTTTTTATTAAAAAATAAAGTGCTGTAGTTGGGCTGGAGAGATGGCTCATTAGTTAAGAGCACTGGCTGTTCTTGCAGAGGACCTGGGTTCAATTCCCAGCACTCCCATGGCAGCTAATGACAATCCTAACTCCAGGTCCAGAGGATCTTATGCCTTCTTCCTACCTCTGAGAGCATTTCAGAACATGAAACACTACGGGTACACTTACATAAAATACACATAAAATAAATGCATATAAATAATAAATAAAATACACATAAAAAAATTATATATTTTTAAAATAAAAAATTAAGTGCTGAGATGAAGTATATTTAGTGAATGCCATGTATTATATGTTATTTTGGAGATTCAGAAAATTCACAATCTGAAAGGTTCTGAGACACAAGAAGCAGAGGAAGCTGCTTGACTCTAACATACTGGTCCTGATTTGTTTAATCAAGAACATCTAATGTTTTGATCATCTGTCTATTAATATCTCGTGAACCTCTAGTGTTCTGCATAAAACAGAAGACTTAGGAAAGACTTATTGATGAGTATGTTACAAAAATGCAACAGTCCCAGTTGGGCATAGTGACTGACACATACCTTTAATCCCAGGATTCCAGACGCAGAGGCAGACAGATCTCTGTGAGTTCGAGTACAGCCTGGTCAACATAGCAAGTTCTAGGCCAGCTGGGGCTACAGGAGACCCTGTCTTAAACAAGCAAACAAAGCAACAGTCCTTATAAAATGAGTGCCGACATTAACTGTAAGTCATTTATGTTACTGTATATTTTTATTCACTAACATTTCTACTTAAAAATTCTTCCAGAAGGACCTGGAAAATCCAGTAGAATAGACACTGCTGTGTGCCTGAGGTTGAATGACAGGGCAGAGGACATGGCTAGCAAATGTTACAAAATATTACTGTTGTAAAAGACCATCACTCATTTTGGGCACAAAAATCTCTTCTGATTTGTACCCTAAGGGCCCAGTAGGTGCAGGAAAAATTGCATTGACAACAGACAGATAATTGACTCCAGCTTAAAACAGCCAGCTTGCCTTTGGCAAAACAGCCAAATGGATCTTGAAGATAGCAATTATTTATAGCCCTTGGATAAACTGAGTTTTATTTTAAAAAACACCTAGTGTTTGTGTGTGCAAAAATTTTGACTCAATGGGTGTTTTATGATTTCAGTGGCTTTTGAGAATAGAATGTGGGATTAAGTCTACCTTATTTAGAACAGCATGTTCAAAGATGACTTCCGGATATGTTACAGTGTCCCACTGCCTGTGTAACTCCAAAAAGTAGCTGATAATTCAGTTTTCACAAATCTTTCACAAACAGTGGGAGGACGTGTAAGGGAGCGCTGCATTAGCGCCAGTAGAACTCACCTGGAACTTCTGGGCTGTAACCATCGTGCCACTGCCCCAAACACCCTAGAAAGAAAACCTCTCCAGGTGAGCTAGGCATGGCCGCACACACGTGATCCCAGCAAGTGGGAGGCAGAAGCAGGAGGACGCAGCAAGTGTGAGGCAGGCTGGAGGTAGAGAGTAGTTAGGTCTCATCTTGGAAGAGAAGGGGAGGAGTGAGAGGAGGGGAAGAGGGAGGGGAAGGGGAGGAGGAGGGAAAGGAGGAGGAGGGGGAGGAAGGGGAGGAAGAGGAGGAAGAGGAGGAAGAGGAGGAAGAGGAAGGGAAGGGAGGAAGGGGTAAGGAGAAGGAGGAAGAGGAAGAAAAGGAGGAAGAAGGGGGAGGAGGAGGGGGAGGAAGTGGAAGCAAAAACTGAATCCAGGAAAAGTTGTTCTCTTAGTGCTAGCGAAGAGGACTAAGAACAAGCTGGAGCACAGCCCAGATAACTCAAGGGCTCAGGAGGCATCTCCCCATCAGCATATTAATTCCCAGTCAATAGATGTGCATAAGAATGGTCCAACTCATTCATACATTATTTATTATTGGATAACAAATAAAAAGCATGAATGAAGATAAAGAAACAGCCATGTATAGTGGTATACTCCTCTAATCCCAGACTCTGGAGGTTGAGGCAGGAGGACTGCTTTGTGTTTGCGACCAGCCTGAGCCATACTATAAAACCTTGCCTTAAAATCAAAACAAAAACAAAAGCAAATTTTAAAACGATGAGGCTGGTGAGATAGTTCAGCAGGTAAAGGCACTTACTACCAAGCCTAAGGACCTGAATTTAATGTCTGGAACACACATGATGGAAGGAGAAAGCCAGCTCTTACAAGATGTCCTCTGGCCTCCACACATGCACTGTGATCTGGGCACACACACAATAAACAAATAAAAAAAAATTAAAAGAACAAAAATAATTTAATTAAAAAGGAATACACCAGGTGTGGTGGTGGTGCACAGCTTTATTCACAGTACTTGGGAGGCAGAGGCTTCCCAAGTACTGTGAACAAGGTGGATCTTGTATATATATTAATATACAATTATATATAAAGAATTTAATTGGAGTTACTTTACATCAGAGATAATGATCCTCCAAGAAGCTGTAGGTTGTCAAATAAAAAGCCCTGTGTCAGGTTTAGGGTACCTTCCCTCAAGTTGTTGGTCAGGGATGTCATGGAGACAAAAAAAAAAACCAGTACCCATTCTTGTCATTGCTCTTGGTTGCCCACTAGAATGTGTTGATAAGACCCTGTTACTTGTTAATTTTCTTAATTTCATCTTGGAATGCTATTGTCATGAACTATCCAAAAAAATTTTTTTAATGTATGTGTGTGTGCATGTGTGGTATGTGTGTGTATGTGTGTATACATGGTTCTTTATGGCTTGTCACTTTAAAAACAGTTCCTTCTCCAAAACAAAATTAGTTGGATTATTAATATGCCATATCTCCATTAAGCCATAGGATTCTTGACTGCCCACCACTACCTTTATTATTGTCATTTATTATTATTATTATTATTATTATTATTATCATTATTATTTTGGTCTTTTTGAGACAGGGTCTCCCTATAGACCCAGCTGGCCTGGAACTCTCTATGTAGACCAGGCTGGCCTCAAACTCACAGAGATCCATCTGCCTCTGCCTCCTCAGTGCTGAAACTAAAGGTGTGCACCATCACGCCTGGCTATATTATTATTTTTATTATTACTATTTATTGTACTTTGGGTGTTTGTTTGAAACAGGGTCTCATTCTGTAACCTAGTCTGGCCTTGAACTCACTTATAGACCAGGCTAGCTTCAAACTTACTACAGCCCTCTTGCCACAGCCGACAGAGTAGGGGATTAGAGGAACCATCACTTCCTTTTAAATTGTATTCTGGGGCTGGAGAGATGACTCAAAGATTAATAGCAACCTAAATTCAGTTCCCAACACCTATGTCAGTAGCTCACAACTGTCTGCAACTCCAGCTCTAGAGAATACGATGACTTCTTCTGGCCTCCACAGGCAACTGCACTCACATAGACATCCCCCTACATGCATACACATATTTTTTTAAATAATAAGAATAAATCTTTAAACAGTATTCCTTCCAAGATCACTCATATATGTCCATTACCTGGGGAAGTTGACTGTACTAAAAGACTGCAGGATATTTTCTGAAATTATTAACTGAAATTTAAAATCTGCTCTACTGTGTTGTTTCTTAACAGTGATGATCTAGACAACCATATTGTACAAGTTGATGAGGGCTTTTTTAATCTCTAGAATCAATAAATATAATGCTTAAGACCATGTGTTTTATCATGTGCAGGTGTCTACAGACCTCATTTTTATCAATATAACTTAAACTATCACATTAAAGTTTGTTAAATGAATTTCTGCTAAGCTGCTAGGAATTTCTAACTTAGGAAACTATTAACCTTGCTGTGTCTTAAGTAGGGTTACCAGTACTCCTAGTTTTGATTTTCATCTGCCTTAAGAAAAATACAAGTTAGGGCTGGGAGTAAGTCAATTGGTAGAGTGCTTGTGTAGTATACACAAATGCCTGGGTTCTATTCCTGGTTCTGCAAAAATCAATATAGCGGCCCAAGCCTGGAATCCCAGCACCTGGGAAGTGGAAGCAGGATCAGAAGTTCAAGGTTATTCCTGGCTACATACTAATTTGAGCTACATAGTATGCCTGAGCATGTCTCATAAAAAAACCCCAAATTAGAATATAGGTACACCTAAATTAAAGTATTATTTGTGTACACAGAGTAAGCACAATCAGTCCTCTCAGGTTCGGAACCTAGAAAATCTACCCCTTTCCTTCAGACTATTTTAAAACCAAGCTCTTTTTATCTCCCATCAGAATTATTTCTTCCATTTTGGTTACTCAGCAAAATTTTATGTTAATCGGTGCTTAAAAGCCATCAACAGAACAAAACATCTAACTTCATACACACAAGTGAGCTTTTATTACCTCATTTACCTATATGATTGTGCTGTGTATTGAGTATCTCCTTCAAAACTTGATGCTAAAATTTAATTGCCATTACAACAGTATTAAGAGGTGGGACATTTAAGAAGTGACTGGGCCTTGAGGCCTCCCCCTTTTGAGTAGATTAGTGCTATTATTGCAACACTACATTCTGTATAAAGGATCCGTTCAGGTTGCTTTTTATCTCTCTTGTCTATACTTTGCCCTTCAACTATGAGATGATGTAGCAAGAAGATCCACACAAGATGCTGCCTTTGATCTTGGGCTTCCCACCTTTCAGAGACATGAGCCAATGAATTCCTATTCATTATAAAACACCCAGTCTCAGGGGTTCTTGTATCAGAACACACAGAAAAAGATGTTCCAATAAATTAAGACAGGTAAAAAACAATGTAAGTCATGAGACAACATAATATGCTTTAGCTGCTACCCGGGAACTAAACGATGTATTAAGACACATCAAATACTATATCTTCAGGTACTTTTGCTCCATTTCCATATCTGAATCTGAGAACTGGAGGTGGCAACAATGTTATTGGCCTGCAGCAAACACCCATTATAAACTTTCATATATTCACAGGTGCTGGGCTTCTCAGTCAACCCTTTCTTCTGTTTACTGATTTCCCAGACTCAAAATCTACTCCAGTGCAGACTGAAGGGAACACGGAATGGCAATTCTGCATAAGTAAGAAGTGGTCACCCACTTGTGATACTTCAGCCATTGTCCTGTAAAAGATACACACACAGTCACCAGAGTAACAGCACAGAAGTCTGAGGAAGACATCTGATTCCCACAATATTAATGCAGAGAAAGCAAAGGGTTTCTATGTTTTATTTAAAAGCACGTCAAGTTATTGAAACAGTGCCTGGTACATATGTGATATCCAATAAATATTGAGTGATGAACAAACGATGTTCTGGGTGCTTCTTCAAGTTCTACCATACTTTTTCACATAGCACGCTCATTCTCCCAGCTGTTATCACACAGCAGTCCTAGTGGAACATGCTGATTATTGCTTTTTACTAAGGCACTGAGAAAGGCTCAAGCAGAGGTCTTATCCTGAAGAGAAGCCTCCTCCTCTGTCATGCCAGTTCTGCTGTGGCATCTGAGTCACCTTCATTTTTGATACCCTAGCTACACAACTAATACTGTTACTTCCTGGAATCTGAGCCGATTATAGGAAATACCCTCCTTTGAGCATAAAACTCCTTTTTAAAAAGGTGGTACAATGTCTTCTCTTTGAAATCTGGGGAATAGGTCTGCGTACTTTCATTGTTTCCAAACAAATACAATATAGTTACTTTAATCTCCTGAATCAAATTTCTTTCTGGCACTGCCTCCCACAGGGTCAAGCAAGCCTACTGATAGGTGACAACCCTCACAGGTATCTGGAGATGCTGATAAAGGAATCAACTGGTCATTTCTTTGTCCTGTCACAATGAAATTAGGTACTGCCTTCTCCCAAAGACCTGCCACCCTCAAGCACCTATCATCAGCAACCTTGTTAGTACCCAAAGCCGAGGACAATGGCTGCTGTTCATCCTCACCCCATCTCCCAGCAAAGCAGAACACAGCAAATATCATCACATCCCATGGCCAAGCTCTGTCCCTAATCCACTTGCTGCCCTCACTGAGGGAGTCCTGAGATAGAGGAAGTTTCACCCAGAAAAACATGTATCTGTCCCAAACATCAGCCTTGGGTGTCCAGAAGAATGTGATCATGGACTACTATAGCACCTTGAATGCTGATTGGGGAGGAAGTGAGGAGACAGATGCTGTGTGTGTCAGTGTCTATAATGTGCCACAGTGAAACAAACACAGAAGTATACAAAGCAAGCACTCCACTACTGCCGTCTTCAAAATGTCTTCTATCTGTTGCAGTCATGTGGAATAAAGGGAATCTGATATGTGCTGAAAGCCTTCCAAACAGAATCGAGAGGTTGCAAGGTGGGGCAGTGGTGGCACACACTTTAATCCCAGCACTCGGGAGGCAGAGACAGATATCTATGATTTTGAGGCCAGTTTGGACTACACAGTGAGTTCTATAACAGTCAGGGCTATATAGTGAGACCCTGCCTCAAACAAAAACAAAAAGAGGAGAAGGAAGGGAGGAAGGGAGAAAGGGAGGAAGGGAGAAAGGGAGGGAGGGGGAAGAAAGGAAGAAGGGAGGGAGGGAGGGCAAAGGGAAGGGAAGTGAAAGGGGAAAGCCCAGAACTGAGGTTTTTAAATGAGGAGGTCTGGATGTCCCCCAAAATTGAGATCTGGTGGGAGG